CACAATTTTACTATCCATACTGTTAATATCTAATAATATTAAATGAGTTAAATGTAAAGCTACTCTAAAACATTAGCACCCTTAATCGTCACATGAAGCAACATGGAGCACGAGATAAAAGTCCAGTCATGTCACAATCTTTCAGTAGTCCACGCTTCCATATATCTAGTGAGGTGAAACTAGGTAAAATAATTGTAAAACACTGGATATTTAAACAAAAATAATTAGTTAAGCTAGAATGGATAGCCATTGATAGGGAGCCTCAAAATGATCGAAGATTTGCATTCTATGGATAGATCCGACTATGAATGGATCCTACTGAACAATCATAACTGAGGAAAAGCCGTTGAAAGATAAAGTAAATGTTTCCTAACTTTCACCAGAAAAAGCACATAGTTTAACTGAAAACGTAATCTCGTTCTAAAATAAGCTTGAAATAAGTCGGTAGTGAGCGGAAAAAGTTGGAAAATTCTATACAAGGATAATATCAAGAAAGAATTGCATGTCTTGCTATGCTAAGGAAACCTGAGACAGTTTAAGGCTGACTGCGAGAAGAAGATGAATGGACCGCAGTTTCGACCTGGCCTTAAGTCACTTTAAGCGTTGTACAATGACCAACTTGCTATTTAAGAATTACCGATTGTTTCGAAACATACTAGCATGGAATGTAAGTTGCGACATCGATTGTAACGGAAAATACGTGTTTGCTCCATACAACATCCCACGATAACTGCGATCTTGGAAAGTCATTAATTGCCCTGAAATTCACATCTATACCGTGATCTACTGGGACCCGTGTCTGGCTCACGGAGTTATAATATGTCACCGTGACGCTCATGAACCGGTTTCGAAGTATGATTGAGTTGAGATGGTAACTTACACAAGTTCGAAATTGCAGTTCTCTGGATTAAAGTACACCTTATGGGAGGCAAGGCCAAGTGACATTAAATGGGTTCACCCAGAAAGTTTTAGTAAGGTCCCAACTATCTACGTTTATACCGCCTTAAGGAATTCAGGGTGGTAAGATCAGATGTAAGAAAAGATGATAGTTTCGACACATTTATAAGAAATACAAATAATTATTTTAGATTGTAGATAGAAATATCAATATAGTGTTGCCTAAACTTGTTCGACACGATAGGAAGAGCTTGTGGAGTGTACCCGGTTCTGCGTCCTCTGCCATAGTATTTATGACCGCTGATTTGATATATTCTCAGACGTTTCGTTCGCATCGTAGTCGGCATCGTCAATGAGAGATGTAATCCTTAGTACTTAATTACGACTTCTCAAAGTGAGAAGTGAAAGCAATCACATTGACCATTTTTTTATTCAGTAGCCGGATAGACAGTGATTTTCATTTGTAGCAGGGAACTGCTGAAAAGCAGGAGGCAAGCGGGCTAAACGAGTATGTGGATTGGGTACCAGAAGATCTGCGAATGACCTATGAAACCGTTTGGGAAGGTAATTAAGCGTTACTCAATCCAACTGAAGGGGCACAAGCTTAGGCGACATGGGAGCAAACGAAGATCCAGAATGGAACGAATGGGTAGATGGGCCATATGAAGTGGGCTGAGGTGAAAAGATGTATCACTAGACGCTAGGACAAAATAGAGGGGGGAGTGATGCTACGACGAGCGAACAGAAAATTAGTCAATGGGATTGCCTTCACTTGTCACTTTGTCTCTGTGCTTTGGATGACGCCTCTCACTCACGACGCCGACTATGATACCGGCGAAAGGCCTGGGCATGTACCAAATCAACGGTCCGATGCTGGAAATTATCATAATTACTATAACAGGGGATGCAGAACTGGGTATGTTTTACATAATATCCCTATCGCTCTGCCCAATTTGCGAAAACAAGGTCAAAATAAACAATAGAATTTTTTTTCATTTGTAATTTGGTTTACGAGACTATCAGTAAATATTATTTAAGAAGTAGATTCCGCCTATTTGCTCAAGGTTAAGAAGGAGTGATAATCGAATTTTCCCACAATCCGCAGAGCTTAATGCCCCCATTAAATTTCACATAGCCTTGATTCCCAAAGGGTAGTCTCATCCAGGATTGATTGCAGTTTCGGCCTCGCCTAGATCTCATCAACACCTACGATAGTCAACATGTCGAGACTATACATTGCACTACCTGGGTTTGAATCCCGTTGTGGGCGCTAATAAGACTCTGGCGAGATTGAAAATGCACTCCACTCCTGTATGAATAATAATACTTTCGGGATGCAAGGCTACGTGAAAATCAGTGGAAACACGAGCCCTATTCATAGTATTGTGGGAAAATTTGACTACCAGTCCTTCTTCGCTTTGAACTAAGTAGAGTGAATACAGCGCTTATAGCAAAGTTTTTCGTTCATGCTATTGCTTATCGGCATTACGCAACAAAATCTATTCCCCAATTATCCGTGTAAATCGACTGATGGTGGTCGGCCCCTCGTAAATTAAATATATAGACAGTTTTAACACCCGAAATAGACTGATATGATCAGTACCTTTAGCAATACACCAACAAATATAAGTAAATCTAGACACTTCCCAATTCTAAATACTGCCCTACTATTGCAAGACTTGATATTCTGAGTTCGTGCAGCCCATCATTATACATGTGGCCATGTGCGAATTGATGAGATTATTCGTGATGAAACAAAAGACATAAGCGGATACAGAGGTGGAGGTAGGAAAATTGGCTACATGAGGCAGGATATACGGAAGAGGATGTGGCTTTTAAAGCCTGAAAGAAACAACCATAATCGGCGAACATGAAAGAGTGTAACTATGTGCTAAGGATGGCGCCTTCTATTGAAACTTTCGGATACATCTCTAAGAATGCACCAAGTCAGATCCTGAAAATTATCATTGCAAACGTGACAGAGGATGTAGGGCTGGGTACGTTCCGGGTTACTGTGGCTTCTGCCAAATTGAGGAAACGGAGTCATAAAATTATAAAGTAGCTAAAGAAGACTGAGAAGAAACCCAAGGCGGCACCAGTTTGTTCTTCATTTTTATTATTTTAATGATATTATGTATATATTGTTGCATAGTCTGGCCTATTATACTATTTTTAAATATTTAAAAATGGGCTGTGCTAAGACTTATAAGTCATAGGAGGATGCATTGTATTTAGTGATAGAGAATTATTAAATGCATTAAATAAAGTTGCCATAAGTTTTTGTATAATGATTGAGAATGGCCCCTTTGGAAGTAGAATTCCTCGGCTTAGCAGTCAAAACCTTTGCTTAAGGATGGCCTACCTACGAGTGACCCATAAGACTAGAAATATGAGCGTGTTCAAAACTGACGGTTTCATGAGATCCTGCAGAAAATATCCACCAGCTTCCAACGAGCATGAGAGAAGCAGGAATAAAAACTGCTCTTCTTAAACCAGTGTCCAAATCCCACTAAAGGTGGTCATACATCCTATGAGGGATCAAACTTACATTCAGCTTTAGATAATAATGCACATTCATGGTGCAAGATGGAATGCGATTCAGCGGTAAATCCGAGCTTTATACTAATGCAGTATATGTAGAGCAACTAAAAGTGTTCATCACCCCATTGAATCGATGGTGTAACCTTGCTCTAAAACGAGACTCACAGAATTGTCTTTATTTGCATTTTCATGACCATCCTAGGAAAATATGCTTAGGTTAGACAACATTTCACTTGCCCTGTGCATATGCCGTAAAGCTGTTATAAAAACCACTAGCGAGTAACATGGGAGAGGGCTTTATTTTGCAATGAAATGCCTTTTCCCATGCTTCCCGAAAGACAGTCCTCATCTAGACTGAACTGCATTTTCGGCCCCGCTTCGCTTGGATTTCATAGAAAGCATACTTTTGAGGGCAAAATTGGCCTCTCAACTCAAAAATTGTCCCAGAAAGCAAGACGAGTGATAATATCTAGTTTAATCTAGTAATGCTGGTAGTTATATCGATATATTTCCTAGCATAAATGTGAGCTGCCTAGCCCACAATCCTATTCACAATAGATTAAATTAAATTAACTTTGTAAGTTAGTTGTCATGTTTTAAAACTTCACTAAGCCTATGCATTTTTAGGGCCTCTTTGAAGGCTCGCTCTCCTTTCATGGAAAAGACGATATCAGCGAGTAGATAAAACACTGGTAAAAGTAGAACAGATTTTCGCATAAAGCATAACTGGGCAGAGGCAAGGTTAGTAAGATAAGAAAAGAAAGGAAAAAGAAATCAAGAGTGCCTGCTAAATCTCTGATAATCTCTACCCATAAACAAAATGATTGTCTGAAGAGCCAAAGATACTACTTGCTTGATTGCAAAAAACAACGAATTTTTACAGCCAACTGTGAACAGATACTCATATTCTGATAAGGAATATAAGACAGTTTCGAGCATAGAATCCTATAATTAGCAAGTCCCTTTTTCTTCTAATATTCACTAACTTCATTGCAAAAGCATCTTCTCTTTGGATTAGTATTCGTATTGGTTTATCTTGGAAAGATTTATCGGCTTTATGAGCTCTTTTTCGTGGTAGACCAAATATCAATTAGGATTCACTAGTAAAGGGCGAAGGCTTCCTGAATGTTGTGGCAGTTTAATCAACCCGTTAAGAACTTGCTTGAATTAATTGTTCTGAGGGATGCTCGAATTAACCTGAAGTTGGCTCATTCATGCGGGTTTTTCATGGTCTCAAAATCCGAGTCAAAGGATCGAAATGTCAGAAGAATTAGTCACTTAAAGAATCCCCACAAACGAACATTCGAATTAATAGAACGAAAGAGGTTACCATCATGGAAAATTGGCCGCAAATTAGCGTGGGCTCTGGATGAAAATTTGGTTCTATCCAACTTCAACTTTTTAGCTGAAAGAGCTTCTTATGAATCGAAATATTTTACTAAAAGAGTCATGAATTCGAATTCCGGATGAAGAATATCCGGTTGATCGCTACGAATAATATTTGCAATGGGCTCAATGCAAGCTTTGAGAGCTGCGAAGGTGGCTGCCTGCTCGACTGTCATCAACTCATTGATATGACTTCCAGATTCATCTGCTATCCAGACGACTTTATTAGCTGGTGCTGGTAAGACTGCCGTCCGCAATTCTATAGGTCCGAATCGTCTCCACATCTTCACAAGGTGCCTATATGATCGTCCTCTGAAGGACGATACTTCCTGCAGGAGTTAAATTTCATTCGGCCAAATCCTGCATGTCTAATGCTTCAATAAAGATTAAGTCCAATAAAGTTACAGAAGTTGCTTTACTTTGGTATTTCTACTTTTGCAAGGAAGAATATGAAAACATAACATTTTGAAAATATATCAAATAAAAAGTGATACCCACTAATCTTCAAGCGCAAGGGCAACTGTATCTAAAGAAGTTGAAAAACTATCGAATGTATAGATTTGAAACCTAGTGGTAATATTTTGCTTGTGTACAAAATGGGAATAACTAAGACCATCTCGATCAACACCATCTGCCGATATGGCCAATTCTATATTGGAATGCATGTCAGAGATAGCCATCTTCAGTCTTGTGACGACTTGTTCATTTGCTTAAAATGGTTTTCATGACTAGTGGATATGCCATTAAAGGATCTTGAGTATATGCTTCTCAAGTTGACTCTTAATCTTTTACAAATTTAGTTATAAGCTGCTAAAGCAGTCGAATAGCCAGTGTAGCATGGGTGATTTAAGTACTAATTAAATCACTAAAACACTTTGGGTTCAGTGAAGCTCTTCCGTATTATAAGGCAGAGAGGTACAAGGTAGGCAGGCCCCAAAACTTCAGAGATCTAATAAAGTCGTTTAATTAACTGATAGGCAATATATAAAGGTAAATATTTAGACAGCGATACATATAATGCAAAAGTGAAACGACGCTCTGCTAGTCGCTGAATCCGGAAAAATTTACAAGTAATCCAAAGTAGTAAAAACTGGATTTGGGTTTGTGCATTGGGATTCGAAAAAGCTTTCCAATGCAATTTGTCATTGTTGGTATGGAAGTCAACTAGTTTTTAAAAAAGGCGACTCAAGAGTCCTACGCAGAATAGTCTTCGAATAAAACAACAAGTTTGACTTAATATAAACTCAGCAACTATAAATAGACATCAATAAAATGGATGGATAGTTGCATTTTAAATTGTTGCTTCGACTTCCCTACCCTCATGGAGGAAATAAACCAAATAATTCACTTTTTAATTATATTATCAGCACTTAGCGATTTCTTTACTACATTCCAACCGTTTAGACAGGATTACTTCCAAAAACTAGGAGACGTGTAAGGCGAGATAGTCTGTAAGGTAGAAAAATTAAGAGCATTGAGAAAGAATGAGGACCAAGTGTTTAAAGGATGCTCAGCTCTCACAAGTGTGGGCCACTGGTATTGATGAAAGGCTAAATAACATGTTAAACTATATAAAATATTAAGGTTACTTACAAGTGGTTATAGGATCTCGAATCGCAAACGATAATGCACCTTGATTTATTTACAAGTAGCCAGTAAAAATCTTTTAACCATGACAGTTTTAAGTTAGGAATTCTGGCCACTTTATTGTGTTTGCAGACATAAAATTAATAATTAGCAACCATTTGTAGGTAGCTTTCCATATAATGTTAATATTACGGCCTACGAGAAGATATAGGATTGTGAATTAAGACATTTTTATTGCTTTGCGCTTAAGTGCAAATCTAGTGATTGACAACTATTTTTTTTTCATTTAATGACCAGTTGTTTGATCGAACATGAAACCGAGCTATAGGATCGTATTCACTTATAAAACTGGCAGAGATCCACGGTACTCGTAGGGAGCCTCGCTTCTTCCAACACCTACTAGTGACCCTTAATATTTTGAGAGTATACATTATAGGAGACTATTTATATATCTGGCAAAGTGGATGAAATGGCTTAATTACTACAAATACACAATTCACTTTTTCCAGAAATAAGATAAGCTTCCTGGCTTATGTAATATACTGGTTTGTTGGGAAGAAGTTGAGTTGGTATGAGTAGTCTACTGGACATTTTTCATTGCGGTTTCACTCTTTAATTCTTTTCCATCAAAATAGGTTCAGCCACGGCTTATGTCTTAAGATCCATGATATTAAGAAGTAGGTGCCTAATAAACTTGGACCAGAAACTGGGAAACTGATAAGTATTTTTTGTTTAGAGCTATTCTCCATCAGATCTGAGCTTCAATCAGAGTTCTGTATTAAGGAAATGCCTGGAGGGCAATAACTACTCAAGTTATATAGTTAGGTTGCTAAGCTAGCTAATATTTTTGCATTACCATTCAGAATGATCTTGAACGGACTAAAGGTATATAATTTCAATGAATCTTTAAGAAGGCTTGAATTTTGTCATAAAATGATGATGAAAAAGTATAGACTATGAAAATACACTTTCATTTTTAGGATGTGCCTCTTTTTCAGGAGTTACTGTAATATTTTACCTTAATACAATGAACACTTGTTAGCACAAGCGCCAGAGGATATAAAGGACCAAGAAAGCCCTACAAAGCAGACGAGTACAAAGATCAATTTTAGTGCCGGCACGAAGAACCAAGGGAAAGAGCTCCAGCTCAACTCTTCATCAAGTGTGAGGAATCCAAATTTGGGAGTATGACTAGGAAAACGGTCAAGATAAACGAGATTAGTAAGATAATAAATTGAAGAGTTGAAATAAGACTAAGAGGTGAACCGTAGCGAAGAGCCCGCATTTACTAGGCTCAGAATTTAGTTAAGGTCTAAGTACAGATATGTGCATATGATCACTTCTCATTGCAGATTCACGGGCAATTGATAAAACACAACACAAGTTGTTGATTGCTAATTATTCTTATTTGTATAGACTCGAGACAAAAGACGAATAATTAACTAACAAAGTAATTTGTTTGTATATGAATAAAAACCGGGTTTCAAAGAATTATTTAGTTATATATTGTGACAATACAATAGCTCTTCCTACGTGGCAATCCTCCTTCGGTTTCCAGCGAGACCACATCACGAATTCCTTCCAACCAACTTTTCCTGTGAAATAGAAAGCCATGCCACAATTTGCTTGTATAATTTAGCTCCATTTGGGTTTGATCATACTACTATTTAGTGTAAATATGTTTGTAAATTATCAAAATTCCTTAAATAGAAACCTAGTCACCCCAAATTATTCAAAATTATTTATAGAATGATGGTGACATCTTCTCGCAATGATAGGAGTAGGCTCCACAATGCTAGTGAAGTTAACATAGCCCTATCTCCAAGAAGATTTTCGCATCTCAGTGAACATATATTTCGACTTCACCTAGGCTTCCTAAGTAATTAGAATAGAAGCCACGTCGTGCGCAACATGAGGATAAGTTACCGATCTACCACAGGGCAACCGCTACTAATGGCTTACCGTGGAAAGATTACATTTAAGGCTAGTCAAGTCTATTTGAAATCGCAGCTAAGGTGGGAGCGTCGATGCGGCAAACATATATTTTCTACCACAATGAATAATGTGAATCGGCTTGGAAAGTCGCATTTTGCCCTGACCCAATGGTTCCCTTGACTGTAGAGTGACGTGGTGACTTGCTGACATGAAGCACAAGACCTAGTTACAAAGCTTGATTGGTGAGGCCGAAACTGTGCTCCGCCTTTGATGAGAACACCTGGAAAGTAAAACTAAGTAAAATGTAATTTAATAATGATGCTCACTCATTTCCCTGCGATAAGCCTCAGTCTTTATGCCTTAAGTCACTACAATCAGCCTGATGATTTCAAGCTACTATTCGCCCATACAGATTCTCATTACGATTTGAGCTGTGGATATGGGATTTCTTAATCAAAATTGTCGTTGCAAATTGATTTAAGAATAATGGTCATAGAGCCTGATCGGCTCAGCTTCTTTCGACTTAATCTATCCAAGTAGATTATTTTTTTCATGATCTTCTTTAGGCAACAGAGGAGGGCTGTCAGAAGACACTTATTCAAGGGCCACATACTCAAATGGCCACTCTCATCTGAAGGGTAATCGTACTTCGGGCTCTAATAAATCCATTTAAATAATACCTTTTAGGAAAATTCTAGTTCAATGGAAGAGTATAATAGTTGACTCTTAGCAAAATAAGACAGCTTACTTAAATACTGGCAATGATGAGCATTGCCTAAGACCCTATTTTACCTTGACGATTGATAGTTAACCAATCTCTTATTTTCAGGCGTAAGGAGCCATATTTCCTAATATTTGTATCTTCCTGGCCTCGATGTAGGGAAAACTTTCAAAGTTACAACTATCTCTACTCAAATTCAACATATATTCTACCATTTCCCGGCAGATTCTGATTGCAAAAGGACACCAAAGTAGACCAAACAAACGACACTACCTCGAATAAGTTGTTTGAGGATACCACACTATGGCTCAAACGTAGAATTGAAAGCATATTTAGTTTAATGGATACGAGGTGGCATTCGCTCTATCATTTCCCAAAGTACAGTTTCAAGTACAATATCTACTTAGACGTCGTCAACCTGGCAAGGACGCTCATCGCTTGATGCGTCAGAGGGCAGATTCTGACGAACCCCTAGACAGGTAAC